CCCTCTCTCTCTCTTAGAGAAGAATATCTGACAGAAATTTTGTATTTCTTCTTTAAATTTTTTGTTGTTAGCAGGAGAGTGTGGTCTAATATTATAATATTAGGGCTTACGACTGCTAGCTAGCTAGTCTGTAGGAGTCTGTAGGACGTCCCTAAGTCCGCCCAGCATTAGTGGGTACCCGACTCGAGTTGGAAAACGAGGCTGAGTATAGTGTTGACAACACTATTGTATCAAAAGTCCATGTTATTTAGACAGATGAACTCTACTAAAGCTAACATATGGGTCTTTGGTCATAACGGGAAAAGCTTGCGAGATGTGTAAATGTTTTGAATGTATATGGCTAATATTATTTCAATATGTTCTGTTTTAGATGTATATGGCTAATACTATTTCAATATGTTCTGTTTTAGATGTATATGGCTAATACTATTTCAATATGTTCTATTTAAGATGAATATGCTAATGCTATTTCAATATATTCTGTTTTAGATGTATATGGCTAATACTATTTCAGTATGTTCTGTTTTAAATGTATATGGCTAATACTATTTCAATATGTTCTGTTTTTTTGTCATCTAGGAAAAAGAAGACTGTGGTTGTAAGTGACAACATATCAAGAGTGCAAGATAGTCAAGTATTTAAATGAGCATTTTACTTAACAATGTGTGCCAACACTTATATGCCTGTCAGTTTCGGTATAGTTGTAAAAATTAATCAAATATAAAGCAATCACAACATTGTCATATGGTCTTAATGTTTTATTACATTTGGACGTATTTTATAATTCATTAATTGTTTAAAATATAATTTGCTAATGACTAGAATATAATAAACCGTGAGTGATCTCCCCTAAACTTTCTCGAATATTCTTATATAAAACAACAGGGGATGGGAACTCAGGATATAGTTATGATTTTTAATCCATTTTAAATACTTAAAATTTTTAAAATAGAATAGAATCTCATAGAAAAAAGAATTGCGCACCAAGCGAACGCCAAATAAAGATGTTCATAATAGTGCGCAATATTATTAGTACTTTATAAATGTACATGTGTTTATTGAGAAATCGAAAATAGCGTAAATTAGTACTTCCGGTCAACGGAAATAACTCAAAATTTGACAGAAGGTAGAGAATTAGGTCTTTTACTCACATGTGAAATTTTATGTATCTATCTGAAATAGTACTCAAGTTATAGTCTCTTGAAAAAAATTCAAAGTAGAAAAAGTACCTCTTCCGGTTATTGGAAATCGCGGAAAAGTTGATAAGGATCTACGATTTTGATAAATACTTATATATGAAACTTCATCAACCTAGCTTTAACGGTACTCAAGTTATCGTGCTTACACACACACACACACACACACACACACACACACACACACACACACACTGACACACACGAAGACACACACACAGACACACAGACATACGGACAAGATTGCAAAATTATGTTTTTCCGTATCGGGGAGGTGTAAAACGTCGAGATTTGCAAAAATCTCGAATTTTTTTTGGAGGATTACAAGACTTTCTTTATACTTCGTATATACGAGAAAGTAAGAGGGACATTAACCCTTCTCTGGTTTAGTTTTTAAAATGAGAATGAAGCTGTAGTGATCTCCCTTAAAACATTTTCAGATATTCCTATTTGGGATTTGGGTTTCCAGACCGTAGTCGGGCTATAAAAGTTACTTTTTTTCATTTATTATGTTTTTTTACGAATAAATAATATAGATGTAAAAATTTCTTAGAATATACTTCATAAGAATATAATATTGAATTATCGAATTCAAAACGTGTTTGAAAAATTGGAAGCAGTGAAATACTAGTTCATAAAGCGCAAGCATACTTTCATTTCTATATATAGAGAGAGGTTTATTTTTTTATACTCTTACACATACTTTAAGCAACTCAGCCGGTCCTAATATGGATAACTTTATGAATTTTTTGTAAATTCTATTAAAATAGTATATAATAAATCGTTTTTCTGTTGATTTTTATCTTTTATAACAAATTCTAAACTATTTAAGAACTACAAAAGAATTGTCCACATACTTACGTTAATCGTGATTTAAGGACGTATTAGTAATCCTCACACCCATAGTATGTTATTTGTCTTCAAATTTCGCAAAACAAGGAATGACAGAGGTTGTCACAAATCAAAAGCAAAATTGTGATACCTACACTAGATGATGTAAGGTTTGCTCTAGAGTTTGGTTAGTCAGGTTTTCTTTCAGCCTCTTTTCTCAAACGAAGGGGAGGCGTTTAAAGTTTTGGAGGGGGGGGGGGGGGGGGAAGGGGGGGCGACGCTCGTAAAATTTATGGGTGTGGCATTTTTTCGTAAAGCGGGAGGGGGGTATTTTAACTATGTGTGATCTGATGTGATCTGAGGTGGGTGTGATGTGATGTGAGGTGGGTGTGATGTGAGATGTGATGTGAGGTGGGTGTGATGTGATGTGAGGTTGGTGTGATGTGAGGTGGGTGTGATGTGATGTGAGGTGGGTGTGATGTGAGATGTGATGTGAGGTGGGTGTGATGTGAGGTGGGTGTGATGTGAGGTGGGTGTGATGTGAGGTTGGTGTGATGTGAGGTGGGTGTGATATGAGGTGGGTGTGATGTGAGGTGGGTGTGATGTGGGTGTCTTGTGAGGTGGGTGTGATGTGAGGTGGGTGTGATGTGAGGTGGGTGTGATGTGAGGTGGGGGTGATGTGAGGTGGGGGTGATGTGATACGGGTGTGATGTGAGGTGCGTGTGATGTGATGTGAGGTTGGTGTGATGTGATGTGGGTGTGAAATGAGATGGGTGTGATGTGATGTGGGTGTGATGTGAGGTGGGCTTTACTAACATCACAGGAAATGAAATAGAGAAAGTCAAGACTCCCAGTTTGAGAATCAATGCATTAAAACTTGTTCAATCTATCTCATCACTACTTTATGACAATACCAATTTATCATTCAAGCAATACCAACTACACTACAACATATATATATATATATATATATATATATATATATATATATATATATATATATATATATATATATGAATTATTAATCATCAAATATGAAATCATCGACATATCATACCCAAATTTTTTATTTTACATAAAACATCGTAAGAACACATCTTTACAAATAATATTTAATCATCTGATTTTAAACACTTCCACCTTAACACCAAAATTAATATCACAATTACTCCATATTAAACAGTCAAATACCTACCATCACATCACATCACACCCACCTCACATCACATCACACCTCACATCACATCACACCCACCTCACATCACATCCACCTCACATCAACCCCACCTCATATCACATCACATCCACCTCACATCATCCCCACCTCATATCACATCAAATCACATCCACCTCACATCACATCACATCACACCCACCTCAAATCACATCACATCCACCTCACATTACCCCCACCTCATATCACATCACATCCACCTCACATCACCCCCACCTCATATCACATCACATCCACCTCACATCACATCCACCTCACATCACCCCCACCTCATATCACATCACATCCACCTCACATCACATCCACCTCACATCACCCCCACCTCATATCACATCACATCCACCTCACATCACATCACATCACACCCATCACACATCACATCCACCTCACATCACCCCCACCTCAAATCACATCACATCCACCTCACATCACATCACATCACACCCACCTCACATCACACCCACCTCACCTCACATCACATCACACCCACCTCACCTCACACCCACCTCACATCACACCCACCTCACATCACATCACACCCACCTCACATCACATCACACCCACCTCACATCACATCACACCCACTCCACCCCACATCACATCACACCCACCACACATCACACACACCTTACATCACACCCACCTCACATCACATCACATCACATCACACCCACCTCACATCACATCACATCACACCCACCTCACATCACATTACACCCACCCACCTCACATCACATCACGCCCACATCACACCCACCTCACATCACATCACATACACCTCACATCACCCCTACTTCACATCACATCACATCACACCTACCCACCTCAAATCACTTCACATCCACCTCACATCACATCACATCACATCACATCACACCCACCTCACATCACATCACACCCACCTCACATCACATCACACCAACCTCACATCACATCACATCACATCACACCCACCTCACATCACATCACACCCACCTCACACCCACCTCACATCACATCACACCCACCTCACATCACATCACATCACACCCACCTCACATCACATCACACCCACCTCACATTACATCACACCCACCTCACAATACATCACATCACACCCACCTCACATCACATCACATCACACCCACCTCACATCACATCACATCACACCCACCTCACATCACATCACATCCATCTCACATCACACCACACCCACCTCACATCACATCACACCCACCTCACATCACACCACACCTACCTTACATCACATCACACCCACCTTACATCACATCACATCACATCACATCACACCCACCTCACATCACATCACACCCACCTCACATCACATCACATCACATCACACCCACCTCTTATTACACCCTCCTTACCCACCGGAGTGCGCGTGGATGCGCATGATTCAGTTTTTCTGTTGAATTAGGTATCACCCATGACCCAATTATGTTATACGCTAGGAAAGTTACTCTGGAATTCTGGTTGCCAAACCGCATGTTACTTTATAATTTATTTTTACCGTATGTAGCCGGCCCTAAATTATTTTTTTGGCAGAAGCTAAACCATTAGTATCCTTGTCGACTTCCCATTCGAAAGAGTAAATTATGTTTATCCCAACTTTAATGTCTTCTTGCATGTTATCTGAGCATTACTTAATTAATTTTCCAGGTTTTGGAAGATCTGTTCAGAAAATAAAATTTACTTCTCAAGTTTCCCAACAACAACAAAAAAAAAGAAAAGAAAAGGGCGAAGTTAAATTGTTTTTATTTCATAAAAGCAAGTTTCAAATGTGCACAATGAACTTAATTTTTTTTTATATTTAAAAAAAGCAATTTTAAATTTAAACACAGTTGAATTATTTTAAAATATATCAAATTGTATAATAATGTTCATACGTAAATTCGCCTTCTCGAAATAAGAGTAAGTTCGTCTATTTTGAAGATAATTTAAAATCATTGAATCACTATCTCGATTCAATCTGTTTTCGATGCTTGTTAAAACTGGAAGAAAAGCTTTTCTATTGTAACAGTGTTTCCGACAACTTTAACTTACATCCACTTTTTTTTTCTTTTTTTTTTTCAAGTCCATGAACAATTGACCGAACTTTAATTTGGTTTTACGTAATGAAGCTCAATCATCCACTACAGATGAACTGGTGAGAGAGCGTTGAATAACTGGAACGACAGGTACTCTAATCTTACGAGCAGTCGAATCCTCTAAGTCAGCATCCGCTTTTTGAGTTGAACTGATCGAAGAAATTTGGATCATTGGAAGTCTAGCATTTCCAATTTCCAGTCCGTTGGTCATAACTGAACTGATATCCTCTACGGTTTCTCTCTTTCCTTTAGGTTCACTCTTGATAATCATCCGTGGACTTTTAATGACAGAACTACGATCTACATCGTTATTTTCTCCCGGAACCTGAATGGCTCGCGACCTTATAGGTGCTGGTATCAATGCTATCCAGTCCATTTTGGAGACCTGTACATATAATAGTGTTCGTGGTAAATTAAAAATAAACATCTTTATTATTTTTACTGAGTTTATCTAAGAGAGTATGCTCTGGGAAAAGAAAACTGCGAAAAAAACTTCTTAATTAAAAAGTTTTTTTAAATTAAATTAAGAAGTTGTTTTTTTAAGAGTCTACCCCTTATAAAATAATCTTTTAACTTGCCTGATGAATAACTTTATTAATTTGAGAAATTTAAACACTTTTAATTTAAATTCTTAAATTTAATTGATTGGTCATCACTGAAAAACGTATTTTGTATTTATAAACAAAACAGGTAAGCAGTAGTAATATGTTTCATAAAATCTATTGCTAACAAACCAATAAAATAGTTACCGACTTACTTCTCGTCTGTTGTCGGCGTCTGCCCAGATGGACGCCACAGTGAGGAGGACGAATGCAGAAGGCCAGATCATTTTGCGTTTGTTAATCTACATTTTACGAGAAGATGATTGGTATTTGTAAGTATTGGTATTAGTTTTCTTTTGTTTTTTAATATTTCTAAATGTTAATCGAGAATTTGAGTTAAACGATTGGTATTGTTAAGTATTGGTATAAGTTGCTTCTTTTAAACATTTCTAAATGTTAACATAGAATTTGAGTTAAACGATTGGTATTGTTAAGTATTGGTATAAGTTGCTTCTTTTAAACATTTCTAAATGTTAACCTAGAATTTGAGTTAAACGATTGGTATTGTTAAGTATTGGTATAAGTTGCTTCTTTTAAACATTTCTAAATCTTAATCTAGAATTTGAGTCAAAAGGATTAATATTTTTAAGTATAGGAATTAGTTGTTTTTTAAAACATTTCTAACATTTCTAAATCTTAATCTAGAATTTGAGTCAAAAGGATTAATATTTTTAAGTATAGGAATTAGTTGTTTTTTAAAACATTTCTAAATGTTAATCTAGAATTTGCGTTAAACAATTGGTATTTTTAAGTATTGGTATAAGTTGTTTCTTTAGAGCATTTCTAAATCTTAATCTAGAATTTGAGACAAAAGGATTGGTATTTTTAAGTATTGGAATTAGTTGTTTTTTTAAAAACATTTCTAAATGTTAATCTAGAATTGGAGTTAAACGATTAGTAGTTTTAAGTAATGGTATTAGTTCTTTAAAAACATTTTCAAAGTGTTAGTCTAGAATTTAATGGAAGACGTTTTGTTTTTTAGGTATTGACATTAGTTACTTTCAATTTTTTTTTTAAAAAGTTATTAGTTATGTTTTTATTCATTAAATGATATTTAATAAAGAATAGGTCCGGTGACGGTGTAATTAATTCATTTTATTCATTAAATGATAGTAGATTCACTCTACCATAAACTTTAACTTACCGTCTTTGAATTTTCATGACAAATGCTAAATAGTAAATATAACGAATTATCTGACGGTCAGAGTAATATTTATGTTATCACCTTTGCTCATTATTTAAAATCTCAAGTTAATATATTCATAGAAGTGCCATTCAAGTGCTATCAAGAATACACTAGAGTACGCTAGAAAATTAAGGGGATCTCTCCTGTTTTACTTGCTTCCATATATGTTCAATTTTGATTACAATCATTAACGAAAATAAAACGCATTATTGCTGCAATATATTTAAATGCTCATTTTTTCTTTTCAATACCCAATACACAACAATGACAAGAAAAAATGTTATCAGTTATTTTAGAAAATAATGAATATAATTCAAGAAAAGCTAACAAAACTAAATTACCTTCTTGCAAAGTTCAAAGTAAGCTCTAGTAATCAGTTTGTTTTCTGAATGTACTGAAGTACGTTTTCTTCATGCTTAAATAGCCTAGATTTCATGTATTGTAGGATTTTTATAGAATAAATTAAACAAATAAATATGTTGGTAAAGCTATTAAACCCAGAAGATTATCATCTGATATCATATATGCAACATCTTATAAGCGTACGCTGTATATATATATGAATATTCATGTACATGTATTGTATTTCGTGCATGCAAGCAAAATTTATTACATAAATGCCAGTCTACTGGTTATTGAGACATAACTAATGACGTGATAATTCCATTATTAACTTTCTGGTACAGAGGCGTAGCGACCCTTCCCGGCTCCCGGGGACATACTTTCAATTTGGCGCCCCCCTCGGGAGCAAATTTTCGATTTGAACCCCCACCCCCCCTCGAACTTTTCATTTGCACCCCCCCTCAAACTTTCAATTTGGCGCCCCCCCCCCCCTAAAGTCGGCGCCCGGGGACATATGTCCCCCCCGCCCCTCCCCCCTCGCTACGCCTCTGTTCTGGTAATGAGTGAATGACAGGTGGTTGCACAGTGTCAGCTAACCTTAGTAGTGTGGCTATGTAGATGCTTAATCTACTTATGCTAGCAGCTGCTGCTATGATATGATCTGTAAGTGTGTAACGTGATCATGTAAGGATAATACATGCTCTCTGTTAAATATTTCGTGTTATGTTTTTCCATTTTGTTCTTTTAATGTAGCGTGTTAGTGTAATGCTAATACATGTTTTATCTGTGAAGTTTTATCTGTGATGTTTTCTTGGTTCTGTATTTACAACTTTGTATTTGAATGTACTGTGCTTATATAAGTAAAATACATGTTTTACCTGTCTATTGTGTGTGGTTATGTATTTCCATATTGGCTTTTTAGTGTAGTGTGTGAATGCAATCTTATTACATGTTTTACCTGTGACATTGTTGTAGTTTTTATTTTATGTCCATGTTGGTCTTCAAGTGAGAATAAAGGCTCAACATGCCTACAACAGCAATGTTTCTTTTAAAAAATATTATCGGGTAAGAGGGATGGGCGCGTCGGGTCACTTGAAACTTTCGGAAGTGCGATCACTGGTTACAGATACAAATAATTAATTATATATTTTCTTTTTCGTAATTGGAGGCGGGGGTTAGATGGACGTATTACCTGGGACTGGGTCTTGCCTCCTCCATCTGCAGTGATGCCTGAAAGAAACAGTGAATTTGGAAAACCGCCGAAAGACTCATTAAATATGTTAACATCATGTACGATTTTATTAAAGTAAGTATGGTTATAAAAACTTGTTTGGTTTCTGTCGAAGTTTACTAAAGTTTGGATGTTTAAAATATTTTCGTTTTCTAAACAACATTGTTAAAACAGTCATAAAAGATTTGATTGTTTTCATTTTGTCACAATGTAAACAAACAGGGCATAACTAGGCAATGTGGCTTATATAGGTTCAGATATTTTTTAAAAATTTTATCGTCAACATTTTGAGTAGGCCTACAAATTACTGCATTGAAGTGTATTGTGAAGATCAATAAAAGAGTTTCCGTAGAACAAATCAATGTTTGTCTCACGAAAGTGAAACTTCAGAGTATACTTTGGGTTTGATGAAATAATTTAAAATACAGCCTCAAACATAAAAAGACCTTCCAAATACAAATACTCTGCATTTGCAACTTTTATACCATTGATTCTTAATATATTAAACTTCTGAATTTTTTCAAGTTTTAATTTTTAAATATTTTTTTAATAGACATTACAAGAATTATTTTTTTTATATTCATGTTAAAAATGATGATTGAAGGATTTTAGTCACCACGTTTATGTCCCTTACATGAATCAAGGCGTGTAAGAACGGAAGATGTTAAAGGCTTCTTACCTTGAGCTTGTGTTTAAAAAAAACCCCTACCTAATCTGATAAGAGAGTCAGTTACTAAAATTTAGCATGGTAGGTTTTTTTTATCGCACTCAGGATTTTTCTTTGAACAGAAAAAATGTGTAATAGGTGTGTTGGGACAAAGTAAGCTTTACTACAAAACTAAAATAGAAAAAAGATATTTCAGAAAACATACACCAAGTCGAAAGCCAAATAGTGGTGAGTGATGTGAAAAAAAAATAATTGTGGGAAAAATGGAAAGTCTTATCTGTGGCATAAACACTCTAAACATTCACACTTAAAGACATTGTACTGGAATATAGCCTGGACCGAATTGAACATTTGTTTCTATATAAATGTGCACAGAGTCAAGTTATTTTAAACATTACGACGCGTTGTTTATGTTTACTAATGAAAGATTCTACTGATATCTTTATTCTATTTTTTTTTTATTTTATGTTCTAATCTACATCAACTATTTAAAAAATATAATTATTTTTTAAAATTTATTTAAGAAAACAATTTTTTTTGTTAGTTTAGAATCGATATTGAATTATGAAATCTTCATTGTAATAACATTTGTTATTCATAAGTTGTTTTTTTTTAAGACATGTTCGGTTATGCGTTTCTCCACACTGTCCCTTATTATGACGAGGTCACAGAAACAGATGAACTCTACTTCACCTGCCTTATAAACCGTCATGTTTAAAATTGTATTTAGGTTTTCACTTACGACAACTCCCAACTCAGTTTGATTCCTAACAGTTAATAAAATCTTGACGTAGAAGTCGCTAGTGCTACCTAAGTCCCTACTGTGTACTATTGACTGACTGGCTTGCCAGATTTCAGCATTTCCATTCCATGTAGTTCGGATATTCTGTAGCGTAGCGAGGGGGGGGGGGGGGGCGGGGCGGGGCGGGGGGACATATGTCCCCGGGCACCGACCTTAGGGGGCGCCAAAATGGGCTGGAAAAATAAATTGAAACGTTGAGGGGGTGCAAATTGAAAGGTTGAAGGGGGCGGGGTGCAAATCGAAAAATTTGTCCCGGGGAAGGGTCGCTACGCCTCTGCGGAGATTATGTAATATGCATAAATTATTGATGTCTTAATCAGTTTGGATGTTGTTTTTTTTTTAAATCTTTAGGACAGTATTTGAAGACAGTTTGTTTTGGCGTCCATTATCCAGGATTCAATAACCGGTTGGAGAGAATAGATTACACCGTCACCCGACCTATTCTTTATTAAATATCAAATTATAAATTCAAAATATGTTTTTTTAAAAATTACTGTATCATCTATCTATATACTACTAAAAGTCAAGTTTGTTTACATGTTTGAATATTTATTTTTTTGTTTGTTTGTTTGTTTGCCTGATTGACTATCTCGCATGGTTGCACTCATCGTGGAAAGCTGTAAAATAGTATGTAGGTAGAGAAAAATTTTTGTTTTAAGACAGACTGTTAATCACACATTTATTTAAAGAAGTTAATTAATTTATTGATTTATTCATTGTTAAATTAACCGTACTTTTTTAAAAATGTTAATACTTTGAATAAACTTTGTGGGGATAGTGACGTCCCTTGATGTGTTAACTTTTTTGTACAATAAAAATGGCGGACTCCATCATAGACTTTGTGGCCCATTCAAAAGTTTAACGCGTTACAAAGCTAATTTTCTGCCGGCTATAACTTAAACAATACGTCCGTTTGCTGTATTTATTACGTTCCAACACTTATATCAATTTTCAACTGTCTTTTTCATTTAGTTTTACGATAAATTTCTCTAGATCTAAAGATCAGCTATCGAAGGAAAGTTATGAATCTAGCCTAGATCTAGATCTAGCCTAGATGTAGGTCACTAGACTCAATGTAAATTCTACATCTGGAATCTATTTCAGGCCTTAATTATTTTATATAAATCTTTGTTTGGCTAATTTAAGATAAAATTTAATTTGAAAGTTAGTACTACTAGACTTAGATCTAGATCTAGAATCTATCCGCGTAAATCAAGTTGCATAAGGAGACGCATAGTATAGTATAAAAATTCACTTGTGACGTCACGAGTAAATAGCTAAGCTGGTAGCGTAGTCGGCTCACATGGAGGTGGCACGGGTTCTAGACCAATATGTCGATGAAATTTTTTTTTCAATTTTTTTTTAGATGTGAATGATAAAGTTGCCTATCTGAACTTGGCAAGATACAGGGCAGGTGAAGTAGAGCACATCTGTTTCTTTGTCCTAAGCATATGAAAGGATAGTGTGGTCAGAGACATGCTCGGCTGGAATCGTTTTTTAAACGATAAATACATGTTGTCTGAGACTTGGCGGGACACTGGGCAGGTGAAGTAGAGTTGAGTAGGTCACATGTGACGTCAGTATATGAAGGGATAGTCCGAAATCGGTGTTTACGGTGTTTTTAAAAGATAAAAAACATATTTTTGAATGTGGGGTCTGTTTTTTGTGACGATAAGTGACACTGCAGTAGCGTAGCGAGGAGGGGGGGGGGGACGGTAGGGGAGGGGAGGCGGGGGGGGGGGGAAGGGGAGGCGGGGGGAGGTGGATGGGGGAAGGGGGGGGCGGGGGGGACATATGTTGGGGCGCCAAAATGGTTTGGAAAAATAAATTGAAAGGTTGAGGGGGGTTCAAATCGAAAGTTTGAGTGGGGGTGAGGGTGTGCACATCAAAAGTTTGAGGGGGGGGGGGTCAAATCGAAATCTTGCGGGGGGAGGGATTCAAATCGAAAACTTTGTCCCCGGGCGCCGGGAAGGGTCGCTATGCCTCTGAGTGACAGACGTGATGTTTTTTGATGGATGACCCCCGAAACCCACAGTTATCCAACGGATGACGGGTATTCTAGTATGATCTATAAGTCGGTTTGTTCATTTGCGTCAGGTAAATGTTGCAATGTTTTTATCCATATTAATTTTTTAAAAGTTTTAATTAATTTATTAAGATATAGAAAAACATTAAACAATCAACTTGGTTAATCTACTTTTAGAAAATGTCATGCAAATAGTATTTCAGATTTGTGGAGTCGACAACCAAATGGTCCCTTCAAAAAAATATAAACTAATACAAATGTTCACGTTATCAACCTGTGGTACAAATAGGTAATTAACATTGTTTGCTTGGGGTTCATTAAACGTAAAAAAATAGAACGAATAATCCAAACTCACCGA